TATAATAAATAGATTTAATGATATTACAATTTAAAAATTTTAAACGAAGTGGTGCAATAATTATGGAAGTCACTGTATATCAAAATTTCATAATTAGTTATTATATTATTATATTATTTGTAATTTTATTAGTTTTATATATGTTCTCTATATGTTGAAATTCTCTTTCTTGTCTTGTTGCGGATTGTACAACTATAATTGTTATATATTTAATTGTTTTATTATTGGATAGTTTTTTTGTCGATCGTACTTATTATAGAAATGATGATTATTTTTTTCAACCAATTAGAAGAAAGTCTTCCTATGAGCATCAAATATGGGGGATCAGCATCTTAAAAAGGAAAACTCTCAAAAACTAATCTTATGTTAACGTTAACGTTAACGCTAACTTGACATGTCAATCATTTCAAGTCAATACGACAACGTGACTCACCGATCACATCACACTTATATAAAATACTTTTTTTGCTAAAATATTAAATGTATTACTGTATCTTAGATATTTTACATAATTTGAGTCACCTTCCCTCCCTTTCTACCATGATGATGACCACTCCGGATATTTATTAATGATTTGACCTTTTGATAGATAGTTTCTTACACATATTCTTTAGATTTGACATGTATTTTTCGTTCAGCCAAAAAATTCAACAAAAATAATGTTTATTGATTTTCATTTATGGAATACGTACCACAAATGAATCCATGATATAATTAATGAAGATTATCCGTTATTTTGTCGTGAAATCTAGAATATGTGGACTGATATGTGGGTACCTCTAAAATAAATAAAATTGCTCTCATTCTTAAACTTTTTATCATTCTTATACTAAGTAATCTTTAACGTTAATTCATAATAAAGAATTTAGACTGGTTTTTAAAGTCAATATTTATGTCATGAAATGATCGTCAGTATGTTGGTCAAGACATTAAGACATCTGACGTTCATTTCGGTGGGTATGTAATTGTTTACCAGAAAATAATAACAAAGTTGATTAAACTCTATAAAAAAAATTTTTTTTTATCGCTTTTATTCTTATAACATTTTATTGCCGTCTTCAAAATGGTTGCACAAAAAAAATTACGTACAAAAAATTTCGTTTCTCGTAATTAAGTATGTTTTAAAACTTTGATAAAATATCATGTACACTATGAATTTGCAAAGTTTTTGTTAAAATAGATCTTTATTTTAGCTTTGAAATCATACTTGAGATCAACTTGAATCACACTCGAGATCACACTTGAATCAAACTGAATAAAATAAAGGCACTACATTAGAATCACACTAAAACCACTCTTATTAGAGTATTCTCCGACCTCTTTGGATGCAATAAGGATGATAATATAAAAAATAATAGAATAATAGCTGTAAGATACACACGGCTACTGGCAGTCTTTTTATCAGGATGGCTTGCCATAAAATGATTCGTCGTGTTTTCATTATTCAGAAACAAAGGTATAGTTGCGATATGTTCATTGGTAAATTACGCGGTGTGACGGACAGAATTGTTTAATGTAGAAAAGGTACTCGCTCCACTTCGGACAATAAATACAAAAGAAACTAATCAAAGAGAATATTCTAACGAAATTAATGGAGTTTGTTGAATTTTTGATAAATGTGGAGTAATACTGTCTTACAAGATAATATTAAAAGCAATAAATTTTTAATAATATTTATAATAAGAATATAAATTTAATACATTGATTAGAATTAAAGTTTGGTGAGATTTATTAAATTATTAAAATAATACAGACAATATTATGAAGCAACATTAAAATAAAATTATATAATTAATAATTAAAGTTAACCTATTAATCTGATTTTACATTATGAAAAAAAAATTATATTTTAAAGAAAATATAAACATTTCAGAATTAACTATTTGTTTTTAAATAATCCCCAAGTTTTTTAATTTTAAGGTCCATCTGTTTAGAGATACCTATATATTTGACTGAAAGATCGTGATAATTATCATTCCAAGTTGTCAAAAATTCTGGTACTTCAGTACCATCCTTTGCCGCGGCTTCTTTTGCTTCCCCAGCAAATGATGCGATTTTCTTTTTATACTTTTTTTCGACCGCTTTCACTTTACTGTTAAGGTCTCTATAAGAATCCTGAAAGCTCACACCAAGTGTTCTTAGATGAGTTCCTATTTTTGTTTGCACAGGAGCTGCATGAGCGATAGCAATGATAAATATCAGAAGAACGGTTAAGATTGATGTGAATTTCATGATTGTAAGGATATTAGATTTTTATAATGTAATAATAAGAGCACGGCTCTAATTAAGTAAATTTATTAATAAGATTAATTTTTAATATCTGTTCTTAATAAAATAATGAAGGTAAGAATTGGTGCTTTTATAGATAATCTTTGAAAAAAAGGGGGAGTAACTTTATCTTATTTTAGATTTCATAATTTCATTTAGAATTAGCGAAATTAGTGATTAGTATGAATATCTTATGATTTTTATTTTTTCTTTGTAAAATAAGCATATGATAGAAATACGTAATCATAAATTAGTAGTGAATCTTTTCACCCGACATGATGGTTTTATTTTATTGTCATATTCAGATATTCGATTTTCAATTCTCCAATATCCAGAAAAGAATTATATTGGAGGAGCTTATTTTGCAGGATTTTCAAAATTTAATTTAATTAAATTAAATTTAATTCTCCTTATTGATTAACGCCTACAATTAAACCTATATATTCCTCATCAAACCTCACATTACTGATCATGCCTAATAAGGAAATACATGTTC